AGAAATGCACCAAATTCATGAAATAAAATAAAAGATTATGAAATAATTGCTGAAAAAGAAAAGAAAAGTAATTTTGTGTGTGAGAAACAGGATGGAATATAAGCATGGAAAATAAACGGAAAGTAATGAAAAGAACAATAAATAAATGATGATACACGTTTATTTGGGGGATAATAAAAGAAATAAGAAATTAAAAAGAAAACGATAGCACAGAGGGTCATTTGCCGGGATCGACCCTGGCATCTCCGGGCAGAGGACGGCGACTCTGCCGCTGTGCTGACGAGGCCGCTGGAGGGATAAGGACTTTTATTAAACTTCTCTTTAGAATCCCCCCCCCCCCTCATATCCACTCTTACTCTCTAAATCACTCAAACATACATGTGCGTGTTAATTAATTAGTGTGAGAATGTGTGTTTGTGTGTATGAATATGTATGTGTGTATCTTCCTTCGAAATTTTGTATTTGTATCTGCTCGTGTAATATATATATATGTGTGTGTATGCATTTGTGTGTGTGTATGTGTATGCGTGTGTGTGTGCACATGTGTGCGTGTTTGCTCTTAATTTCTCCGTCAAAGGCATCAATAACATTATAATATGCAAAAGTAATATTGTATGGAAATAAGATGTAGACTACTATGATAATTGATGTAGACTACAATGATAATTTTTACAATATGCTGACTCAATCTGTTCCTCATCATAATGGCCTCCAAACAATTCCTTTTTTTAATTCATACCCCTATTTCCTTACAGATAAAAACAATCATAAAACATTCCCCTTGAAGGAATTGCTTCTCAACTTCGGAGTTTCTTGAATATCCGATTCCTCTGAGAAGAAAAAATGTATTTTGTGCCTAAGTTAAACTAAGTTCTAAATTTACTTTCTAAGATCAACGACCACATTGCAGATGGATAATAAAAATGGCGAATGATAAACACTAAATAAGAAATATCTTTAAAGAGACTTTGATACGTCAGACGCTCCGATCCGAGGACAGAAGAAAAATCTGGAGACGAAAGAAGATTTAAAGTAGAAAGGAAAAGAAAATGAAGAGAAAAGGGAATGATTTTTAATATAGATAAACGTGCGGCTCTGGTGCGTGTGTGTGGATCCAATTACAACGTTTCTAAAGATATTTTTTAAATTCGGAAATTAAAAAATGCCTGGAATGATCGGGTATTTCTCAAGGCAGGACAAAAGCTTTGTGATATGAAATCTTTAGTAATGAATATCTATCTCCCTCCCTCTCTCTTTCTCTCTCTCATTCTCTCCCTCTCTCTCAGATATTTAGGGGAAGAAAGAGAGAAAGCGAATAAGACCAAGAAAAAAGAAGAGCGAAATGCAGAGAGTAAGCAGTAAATGAATTTACGAAAAGAAAATCGAGATAAAAAGCGAAAACTAGTGGTTGAGGTGAAAGGGAGAGGCAGAAAATGGGATAGAGGACAGACGAAATAATGGAAAATATAGAAAAACTTCGGCTAAAGACGAGAATATTAGCAACAAAAATCAGAAAAGCGAACGAAATATAAAAACATGTTTATGAAAACAATGAAATAGAGATACACTAAATTCATTAAGTGACTTAAAAAAAAATTATAGACTACTTGTGCAATAAGAAATAAAAAAAGAAAAGAAAAGAAAAAGACGTAGTAATAGGAAAAAAACAATAAGGAAATTAAAATACACGTTTACTGGGAGTCTTACAGATCTTCCATCATCCCCCTCTCTCTCAGTCACTCACAGACATACATGTGCGTGTTCCTTCGTTTGTGTGTGTGTGGTGGGTGAGTGTATGTGTTTGTGTGCTTTTTCTTATGTATAAGAA